ATATATATATATATATATATATATATATATCACACGCATAGACCACCTCCCCCGGCCATCTTCTTCCCTAGATCGGAACCTCCATCCATCCCACCGCCACACACAATCCACCCATCATCTCCTTCCGATCACGAACACCCAGCAGCTACCTTCAGCACCAACCACCTCCATCTTCAAGGTGGCATGACCACTGTTAAAAAACACAATGGATTGATGATGAACCCGATCAACAATGAAATCTAATCATAGGTGATCGATGATTGAATTTGTGTATGTATGTTGAACTCAGATTGGGGTGGTGGAGAGGGTGGTTTTAATTTGATAGAGCTACGAAGAGGGGAAGGGTTTGGTTTCACAACCACCAATTGAGAAAGGGGTGCGGGTGCGGGTGCACTCACCCATCGAAAATTGGTTGGTAGTGCACAGTCGTCATCGATAAGGGCATGGGGGACTTTATATATAAATTTAATTATTATGTAAAATCATATTTAATTATAACTTTATTAAAGGAAAATAAAATATACTATACGAGTAAGAAGATGAAATGTAATGATGTTAACTAAAATGACTTGTTTCAGAGCCTAAAAAATGAAATAAGGACCACCAGTATAGTATAGTTAATGAAATAAGGACCACCAGTATAGTATAGTTAATGAAATAAGGACCACCGTCGAAGAAGTAATCACATCCCACAAACAAGGCAGGCGAGTGTACCCCTCCCCCCACAGTTCGTTTCTCAGTCAAGGTGTACCCATCATAGAGACGTGGTGAGATCTAACAGATGCAATGGAGATGGGATCTGAAACATCCGATATGATGAGATCTAACTGAGAAGAAATCAAACAAATATGGGGGTGGGATCGAACATAGATAGTTTGTAGATTTAAGACTGGTTTTAGAACCAAGCCCAAATGCATGTCTTGTACCCCCTGCCTTTGATTTCAAAGGCTGGCATGACAGAGCGATCTCGAAGCATGGAATGAGGGAACGAAGCAGACAACGAATCCATCTTGATTTCTCTACTACTAGGTTATGTTCATCTCCATTTGATTTCAATAAATAAAAAGCTAGATTTGTTGGGTTTTTTTTTTGCTAAACTTGTCAACCACAAAATTTATGCAGTAGCATTGCTATAGGTTGTTTTATATTGAGTTCGGGTATTTTGGTTTGATTTAGATTTGGTCGTTTTATTCCACTTTTTTAGAATTAAAATTTGGTTGAGTTTTGGAATTTTGTTTATCAAAGAAGATGGCTGGAGGAGGTTCTCGGAGATGATCACCAAATTATGGACGACAAGAAGAAGAAAACAACTGTAAGATTGGGTGTGTATATGGGTTGTACACATAGACGTGCACTTTGAAAATTATTTATTAAAAAGGATAAAGAAAATAAAAGACTTTTAAAGACCAAAATAGCCCTTACTTAAAGGACAATTTTAACAGAGTTAGTGAACAGAGACCATTTTCAAAGCAAAATGTAAACAACAGAGACGATATTTTTAGTTATTGAAGTCTAGGAACCACTTTCGAAAATTCGTGTAAACCATATGGACCAACATTGTAGTTTACTCAAATTAATGAATTATGGAACAAAAAAAATAATGGCTAAAATACAAGAACCAACAGTGTAATTCACTTTATATTTTAGAGTAAATTATGATTTTTGGCGGGTGTGGTTTGTTAATAATTAAAATTTTTATAACGGGATTAATTCATACCTTTAAATATAATGTATCAAAACAGTAAATAATTGTAAATCACATGACTTAAAACAACAATAAATTGTAAATCAAAATGACAAAAATAACAATAAATTAGAAGTTATAGACACAAAAATCATAATTTTTTATTGTATATCACACTTTAACCAGAAATTGACAAAAAAAAAAATTATTGCAATTTTTATTTAAAATGTATATCTACACTATACTATAAAGCATTTGACAAAAACTCTTAAAAACCATTTTTTATGCATAAAGTACTGTTTATTGATGCATATTACTTAAAATTCAAGATTATAAGTAAACTATACGTAAATACAACTTTATGTTTGAATTCATTTAACTAACTGAAGATAAACATAATTAAATAAAAGATAAACATCTCATTTTAAATATAAAAAATCTAAAATATAATTAAGATAATCATTGAGTTATAACAAAATACTTAATTATTATATTTATAAAAAGTTATATTATTAAACAAAAAAATGAATTAAAGGAAATACACAAAAAAAAGAAATTTTAAATATTCAGTTTGGTACCAATCCCAATATTTATTTTTAAAATTGTTATGATATATCTCCATATTTATATATTATTTAAAAATAAAAATATTATCATTTTATCAAAATTACATAAAACCGTATTATAATATCGATCGGGACAAAAAATAAATAAATCGAAATATATCTGACTGCATTGTGTGAATACCCTTCTAATAATAATTAATGATAGAAAAAGAAATTCTTTTATTTATTATAGTACACAAAAACATCATTAAAATGTGGTCCAAATAAACACATTATATCATCATGACCTTCAACATCATCCATCACTCAACCACAAGCAAATTATATGCCAGCCCCACTCATTTTTTTCCCATCTATTCACATATGAATTAAATCTATTCATCATCAAAAAAACAAAAAAGAGAGACCACTGTAATGACAATAAGGATGAATAAACTACACCCTCTTTACTTAAAATGATACCGACCGGCTTTGGCGGTGCATCCTCCCGTGGTGAGAGCGGTGGCGGCAACGGCTTCCACCGAACGTAATTGGATCAAAGCTTTTGAGCTGCTTAGCTTCTTCGTGGTCCACGAGACACTCGGATGGAGGTGTTTTATATCTCATTTTGTCGTAGCAATACGAGTATTGAAGGTGTTTCTTTCTGAAGCTCTCCATTTTAATCCTCTCCGCAGGCGTTAAGTCAGCAAGGATTGAATTGGAATTCGGTGTGGTGTCGCATTTCAACGTCGAGAGTTCCATGGGGTCCACTGTGCATCCGTGGAGGACAAAGTCGGAGAATTCCGCAATGTAAGGGGCGTATTTGTAATTTACCTTGTATTTGCCTCCGTTTGTGGCCCATTCTGAAGCATCCCATATCGTTGCATACAAAGTCATGGGCTTGGAAGGGAAGTCTTTGCCCATTGACTCGGTTCTTTTGATCTCTCTAATGGCAACATTATCGACATAAAATCTAAAAAACAATAAACGATAAGTAAGACGATGCCTGAATGAACATAATGCTTTAAATGTTCATATAATACGATATATTCATCGTCGTGACCATACAATTACCATGACATATTTCCCAAAATACCCTCACATCACAACCATAATCACCAAGACCTACAAGGTTTATACTATAATTTAGAGATGCATAATAAATACCCAAGCCCATTGGGCCCATTTTCACACCCAAAACTTACTAAAAACGAGTTTGGAAGGCCAGGGCCCGGCCAGAAAACCCGAGTCTTTGTGCATCTCTACTGTTAATGCAACAAACCGGCAAAGCACCACTTGCATTGCATAAAGTACAAGTATTTATCATACGGATGTCCCTATTTCGTACTTAAAAAAGTATCGACATAGAAAATGACAAAATTACCCTCCTCAACATTCAAGGGTACCAAGGCACAGGTGACCTGATATGATTAGATAAAGCTACTAGGTCTCTTGTAAACAAAAAAAGAAGCAACTAAAAAGCACTTGTACAACATTCAAAGCACAATGTACAAGTCATCATAGCATTTCAGCACTGGATTTAGGTTGTACTTTTAGTAAAGCATAAAAAAAAGGGAAAAATTGACATGATGGCATGGACCATTTAAATATTTTACCACATTTGGCAGACTAGAAAATAAAGGGAAAAAAATTTAAGTGGTGGCACCATAATGGCATACAATGAAACAAAATGGTGGTATGTCAAACACTGCAAAAAGTTTACATTGTTATGAATAAAGTTATCTGTATAGATTAAGTGTCTGTATAGATTGGAAATGTTTCTGTTTGGGAGAGTTGTTTCATAGATGGATGAACATGTTTTTTAATTGGAAAGGATAAGTTTGGAAAAAACTTGGCTTTCTGCATTCAACTCTCCCTAGAAGCTTACTGAATAAGCTATTTTCTATATCATTAAGTCACTACCAAAGAGTCATGTATAGCTGACTGCATAAGTTGTAAGGCCCATTAAGCTGCTAACGAACGGGCCCTAAATCCAATGTAGTTTAGTATTGCATGAATGTTTCGACACATTGCTACACATGGTTATGTTGGGTGTTCGAGAATTAGTCAAGATGTCTAAAATATCCCGGGCCTATTGTAGTCAAAACTATGATGAATCTTGTTGAGTAAACATAGCTTAGCATTCAAAATAGGGCAAATTGCATGAAAAAGAACGTACTTTAACTTGATTCTTATTTTGGGTAACGTACTTTCAAAACTTCCATTTTTGTACCTAAGATGTAAATTTTTAAACATTTAAGTACCCGGGTAATTGGTTGAAGAATTAAACCGGTTATCATGCTGATTTGGCAAATGAAATGTGATATCCAACCCAATATTATTTGCTGACGCGATTAGTGACATGAATTTTTTTAAATCTAAAATTAGTCTTCAACCGGTTACCCGGGTACTTAAATGTTTAAAACTTTACATCCTACGTACCAAAACAAAAGCTTTGAAAGTACGTTATCTAAAATAGGAATCAAGTTAAAGTACGTTACTTTTTCATGCAATTTACCCTTCAAAATATCACTCTGCTACAATTCATGGTCGTCAACTTTCAATATTACTAGAATGTCTAAAATGCCCCTAGCAACGGCCGTAAACGGGACACACAAAAAGACAACACGAATATTTTCGTAGAGATTAAGAAAGGGTTACTCACATTATACGATCGTCGGTCCAAAGAATGCTATATTGATGATAATCATAAGAAGGATCAAACCAAAGCCCAAATCTCTCTTCTCTTCCAACATTTGTGCTTCCATTGCCATAGATGTTGGTTTGTATCCTCCATTCTTTGCCTCGGATATTACCCAAGAACTCGAAGTCGATTTCATCATGGTTCTTCTCGTACGTATCTCCGTTTGACATCTGTTAAATAATCCACCAAACGAGTGTAAAAATCTCATTTTTACAAGAACCAAAGAATTAAAACAACTTATATTTTTTTACAAAAGCACTTATCAACTTATTATAAGTCAGAAGGGTTTAACTTCTTCAAAACTCCTTATTACCGGTTTGGCACCGGTATAAGTTGTTTATCCAAACACTCAAAAGTGTTTAATACCTGTGTCAAACTGAAGTAAGTCAATAAGTTGTTTTTATAAGCAATCCCAAACACCCCCTTAGGCCATGTATACAACCATAAACTATGCTTATTTTTTTGAGTTTATTGAAAAAACCCTGTTCGGTAAGGCATAAGCTAGAGTTCTGAAAAGCTACTTCAAGTAGCATTTCAATAAGCTATCTTTTTTAAAATAGCTCCATGGACCATTTTCATTTTTTTCCAATTATACCCCTTATATTCAACAAAAATAACCAAAACCCTAGTCTTTTAGGTCATTTTACGTTGTAATTTAGTTTATCAGTTAATTTTTACCAAACCTGACTAGTGTATTAGGTATCTTATCAAGCAACAACTAACTTTTCAACCAACAACCCAACAACAAGATTCTTAACTAACTCATCAACATAGGGGCTATTTACCAAATTTTTTGTTAAATCCTATATGAATAAATTTGTCTTTCCGAATAAATTTGTCTGTCTAGATAAGTGGGTGTTGTTTTTTTACTTTTTTTTTATCTGAACCAACCGTCTGAATAACATAAATGAACGATTTACCCCCAAATATTAATTATTTGAACATCAAAACAAAAAATCACAAAATAACCGAAGATGGGGTGTCTCATATGGGAAGGAGGCGGTGCTTTAAATAAGGGGTAGAGGTGTTATTTTTGTGGCTGAATGAGCACAACACACCATTTCTATCTGTGCGATTTATCCATGTTCTGTGCAAATAAACCGTAAGTAAACAACCCAAATGAGCTGTACAAATAAGCCAGATAGACCAATAAGCCTAATTAAGCCGCAAATAATAAGCCCTAGTCTTATAAAACTTGAGTTTAAGATCTACCATTATAAATGCCTAATTAAGGTTATTTAAGAACCATTGGAAACAGCAATTCCAAGAACCTTCAATTCAAGGATGAGTAGTAACTCCATGATGTATGCTTATTGATGAATTGGTTATCATAAAGATGGTCTTTTTTAACACCCAACACACCTTGATTAAATACCAATTCTAACAAACTGCTTTTTTATAGGTGAGATCTAAATTCTTGATTCATAAAGACTAACAAAAACCACCTGCTTAAACATTCCGTAAATTCCATCTACGGTCGCATTTCGGGAAATTCAAACTGCTCGACTTTACATTCAAGCGTAATCTTCTTTTAGAAACCCCAAAAACGGTCCGAAAAGTGAAACTTTTGTGATGCCCAAGAATCGCAGTTGGAAAAGGCTTTGTGCTACCTTCCAAAACAAACGTTGTACCAGTCTCACAACCATAGTAAAATACGTATGATTTAACCATTTGGTCAATTAACTTTTTGTTGTAATTTAAGGTTGTAGTTTAGGGTCATGATCATTTAAAAGGTCAAATATTTGACTTTTTAACAGTAACCTTTATCCAGATTTCAAGGGGGAAAAAGGTAACATCTTGGTCCAAGATTCAAGCAATCACAAATAGGGTTTAATCTTTTTCCTTCATATTTTTTTTTTGTTAAACTGATTTTAGATCATTTTAATATTAAATTACAATTAAATTAAAACTACTATGTTAAAAATTAAGAAAAAAATTCAAGAAACTCATATGAACCCAAGCCACATGAATATGAATATATATATATATATATATATATATATATATATATATTAGAAGGGTATTCGCGCAATACAACGAGATACATCTTGATTTTAATATTTTATTTTATTTTTTATCTCAATCGATGTTATAGTATGGTATTATGTGATTTTGAAAAAACGATTGATGTTTTTATTTTTGAATAAAATATAAATTTGAAGATATTATAAAATTTTCACAAAATTATATTGATATTAGTATCAAATTAACTATTTAAAATTTCTTATTTTTTGTGTAATTTTTTTTTCAAATTTTTTTATTATAATTTAATTTAGGTTCAACAACGAAGTAATTTATATTTGGTTCAATAATATATTTTTTTAAAGATAATAATTAATTATTTTATTAGAACTCAAAACTATCCTAATTATATTTTAGATTTTTTATATTTTAAGATAAGATGTTTATTTTGTATTTAATTATGTTTATCTATAGTTAGTTATATGAATTAAAAAATAGAGCTTTAATAAGTTGTACTTATGCACAATTTACTTGTAATATTAAATTTTAAGTAATATGCATAAATAAACAGTACTTCATGCATAAAAATGGTTTTTAAGAGTTTTTGTCAAATGCTTTAATTTATAATATAGTGTATATATATATATATATTATATAGACGAAGAATAGTCCGAGAACGGAAGTCAGATGAGAAGTGTAAAAAAGAGATCTAAAACCTTTGGTCGTTTTTTATCTCATGCCCACCATGAATTACATTTTAGATGAGAATTGATCCAATGTGTCTCGATACACCTCATTAGTTTTGAGTTTTGACATTCAATTATGATTAATCAAGAGTGGAGATCCTTTTTTATACTTCTCACCGTAACTTTCTTTCTCACCAAAATCCAAACCTATATAATATATATATACACACACCCAATACAAAATACATGCAAAATATTATATATATTTTAAATTAAAAAAAAAATACTCACATAAAAAGCAACAACCACCCCAGCTGTGTAATCAGCAGGAAGCTTAATGGAGGCACTGAAGAATCCATGAAGATAAAGGTCTTGTGAAACAAACCCAGAACCTGCAACAAAAAAACAAACGAAAATGAAAACGGAAAATCGATCATAAAGCCATAGAATTTATACAAACCATTAAGACATTGCATACCTGTTCTTTCATCAAGGGATAAATGCACAGATTTCCCATCTTTCAGAACTTGCAGATTATTACCACCAAATAAATGCGAATAGCCTTCATCAAACGATGAAATCTGCAGAGTTCTTGAATACCCAGAAACCAAAGCAAAAACAGAGCACAGTAGACTTAATATCAGATGCAAAGAATCCATTTTTTCTTCTTCAGGGTACAAATCTTTAAGAGTAGGTTACAACCCACTGATGCAGTCTTTGTAGTTTTGCAGCAGAAGGAAGAAGCAGAGAGAGAGAGAGAGAGAGGTATGTGAGAGAGGGGTATGAGAGAGGGTGGGTTTTATTGGCGATGAGAGGGGAGGTGTTAATCCTAATTAATTTTAATTGAATTAAATATGGTTTTATTTGAATTTATATTTAATTTAATTGATAAAAAGTAAGTTTTGATTTAAAATTGAATGGATGTTATAATTTCATGTTTAGATTTAATGTCGTTATTCATTATTTAATTAATAAGATTAAAAATAGATTAAGGTGGTGTTTGTTTTTTTAAAAAAGCTCTTATTTTACCATTTATGTCTGATTCGGTCAGACATAAGACAATTCAGACCGTTTGTTTTTCTTTTTATTTCAGAGCCACTTATCCCTTATTTTCCTCTTAAAAATTAAGTGATAGCCTAGCCATTTATTTTCCTCTTAATCCTGAAAATTATCCCGAGAACCGATTTCTACTTCATCATTCRATCGACTTCACCCTCCATCAATCGACTTCACCATCCTCATCGTCTCAATCGATCGAGTTCACCCTCCATCGCCTCTGGTGGCTTCAAATCGACCCAAATCAGATCCAAATCAAGAGGGTTTTCTTCCTTGTGGGTTTTCGCCACTGTGTGTTTTCGTTCCTGTGCAAACCGGTAGTTGTGCATCTTTATCCTCGTGAATCAAGGTATTTTCGTCCCTGTAGTTTTCGTCACTGTATTTTTCATCATGATGGATATTTGCTTCGATTTTAGAGGTGAATTTGGACGTTGGATTTTAGAGAAGGAGTGGTGGTGGACGGTGGTTGATGGTGGTGGGTTGAGGGTGGAGATTGAGGATGGAAGACTTGATTTGGAGGAAAAGGAAGAATTGAGAGAATCTTGGGAACACAAACAGAAGTGAAACCAGAAATTATACATATTGATATGTTTTGTTGGTTACAAAAGCAAACTATTGATTCAAATTTCAAACTTCAGACGTTTGTCAGTTTATAAAAACAAACAGTCTGACTGATTCAGATTTCATACTTCAGCACCACCTCTTAAAAATCAGAAGTGAAATCAGACTTCAGACTTCAGCACCTCTTAAAAAACAAACGCCACCTAAATGTATAAACTAAGAATATATAATATGTTTTTATTTTTAAAATAAACAATAAAATCGTAATTTTATTATGAAAAAAAGTCCAATGAACTTTAGTGTTTTGAATGATCAAGTCATTGGAAAAAGTTTTGGAACGTGTAAGTGTTTGGACATTCAAAAACTTGTTAAATAAATGTTTTGAATTTTTTTGAAGTATGGTAAATACATTATTATGACATATAAAACTGGTTAATATAGTAAAATAATAGAAAAAGTCTGAAAAACCCAACGGATTTTCATGTTTTGAACGATTAAGTCTTTAAACATTTTTTGACCAAAAAATACTTACATTTATAAACGAAACAAATATATCATTCTCATCACTTTTTCCAAAACATACAAAAGTTGCATCCAAAACAAAAATAATCTGTATAAAAAATTGGGCATAATTTACCAAAAGTTGAACCAAAATAAATACCCAAAGTTGCGGCAAAAAATATTAACAGTTGTGCTAAATATACCAAGAGTTGCACCAAAATATACCAAGAGTTGCGGCAAGATATACCAAAAGTTGTGCTAAAATACATCAAAGTAATGCCTAATCTATGTTAAGGTCGTGACATGAACTATTCTTCATTTGCATCATTAATTTCTTGTATAGATACAACAATTTGAGTTAATTGTAACACTTCTTGTCCAACAACATCGTCATTTTCAACCAAAGGGCCTTTGGCCTAGCAGTATCGTAGCCTTTGACCTTCTAGAAGGTCAGGGGTTCAAACCTCACCAAAGGTGAGGAGGGTGAGTGAGTTTATTTGTTGCATTTGTCGTATATAAATATTATATATACTTCAAAGAAGACATCGTCACTTTCATAATGTTTTTCATCACAAACAACAGTCTTACCTTCATCACGGTATTCATCATTAACAATAACCTCACTTGAAATTAAATACGATAGCTGGTTGTGGGACATCTGATTATGTCTTCAATGATGAAGATAAAATGTAAGCAATAGTCGTTAAAAATATTATTTGAATATGAAAAATAAATAATGGATTACTTCAATCATTGTTTCTCTTGTGATTGGACCATAAGAAACACCTACATATGACGATTTCTCCCACCTCTATTGCCTCTTCTTATTGTAGTCAGTTTTGGAATGTTGACTCTTAGTCTACCTTTTGGCTTAACAGGTTTAGGTGATGGGTCCTTCTTTTCATTCTTACAAGTTCTGGCATTATGCCCGTTTCCAAGCAATTGCTACATGTCATTGCCTTCCCAGATTGAGTCATTCATGTATCTTGGTTGTCAGATTCTGATCTTTTTCTTTTAATAGATGGTCTATTAGGCATTCTTCATTCTTGAGGTGGGTGTGGTTTGATGTAAGGTGTTGGAGTCTACATGTTGCTCACATTCAATGGTCTTATATTATTCTCATTGGTCATTTTGAGGAGATTCTTAGCAAACAATTTACTAACATAATTCTTTGGATCCTTATTGATAAAGTGTATAACAGCTATGGAATGCACACAAGGAATGCCTGATATGTCCCACAATCTACAACTACCTTATAGCATCTAAATCCACCACCATTGTTTCATAATCATTTCGTGTTTTAAACACATTCCCATCGCTAGAGATAATATACCAATATCTACATATGAAAAAAGAATACATTAGCAAACAAGATCATATTACCATCATAGACTTGGGAGGCTCATTACTTCAGTTAGTTCCTATATTCCTCGAATGGATCTCTTAGTAGTTGAGAAGGTTGCCCAAAAGCTATACATAATAAAGTAGATAAACATACCTGTGATTTTCTCCCAATTTCTTTAACTTTTTCTTTATGGTCGAACATACAATTGATTCCTATTCTTGTGCTTTTCTTGACATTCTGTGATGCCTTTCCGTAACAAATATATGTATCTCCTCTAACATTGTTATTATGGATTTTCTTCTTGAATAAACAATTTGACCATAAATATCATCTTGCATATCCTTAATCTTTATGAATGGTTTTTCTATGAGTTCCCTGACATAATGCTTTGCAATCCAATTTGGTGTCACCAGGGATCCAAAACTATAGTCTTTACTACATATGTGCTTACAACTAATGTTTTTAATTTGAACTTTTTTTCTAGCATCCAAAATGCCCATAAGCTAAAAGAAAATGTGTGATCTTCTTGACCTTTTCCACATGTAACAGACAGTCTCTCTTAATCATTTTTCACATATTCTAGTTGGTAGCCATTTGCAACTACATATTTAGTCAAACACTGCTTTAATTGACTAGGATTCTCATACATCTCACCAAGTTTAGGCTTCATCAGCTTCCAAGGAATATTAGGATCATGTGTTGGATATTAGACACCTTTTTGTATAGCTTGATCTCTAACATTATCATCATCTTCGTCCACAAACATACTCAACATCGTCAATCATGTTTACGGTACAAAGCTAATTTAAAAACTGATAATCAACTGTTAAGTTGATTACATCATCCTCATCTTCAAGGTCCAAGGAGAAATAATCTAACATATGTTCACTTGAATAATCGCTTATATTATAGCTAAGATCATCATTACAATCAGATTTCATTTTAGAAACAAGAATTTATCACGATTCACAATATGAAAACAAAACCTATCACATTCTAGTATATAATTCAAAACCTCAAGAATTGCATCTACAATTTTGTTAGAAATTGGTAGAATTCAAGAAAGGCTAAACTTCAACCATACTTGAGATATTATTAACCTAACACAACTGAACTAATTTGTATATTCTTCCAGCTACAATGCTAACGATTGTATTTCAGACAAACTATGAAGTTTCATTTTAACCAAAAGGCAGAGTAGGGGACGGGTGAAAAAAGTATAAAAGGAGTGTGTTCAAACAGGTCTGGAGGACAATAAACATATAGTAAGAACTCAAGGGAGGGAAATATGTTAATACAAGCAAAGAAACATTAAACCACTTACATTGCAGTACTGTAAACTATTAGGACAAGATCCACTCCTTTTATATCACGGATTGGGATGGTCTGGACTGGTTCGATGGCTTGGACTTATGTGACCGCTAGGAATGCAGCGACGAGCCTGGAATAGGGCGGCGGACTGGGCCGAGGAAGGTAGGGACGACGATGGTTGGGCTAAGGGAGATGGCCAGTAGTGTAGAGCGACGACAGGTGGTGTAGGGCGATGAGATGGAGACGAGTGGTGTAGGGTGATGGGATGGAGATAGACCACCTAACGATTAGTTTCTAGGTTTTTTTAATTTGTATTTAACAAAGTTAGTTTTCAGAAATGAAAACATAAATGATTTGTTGGTCATGGGAATTAACAACTTTCATAAGAAGTGTTTGTAGAAGGCGCCAGGGGGGGGGGGGGCGAATACAAACACAACAAATTTTCCCTTCTTAATCATTTCTTTTATATTTTATATAAAAACAAAGAATTACATACTTGTTATGGAAGTTAGAAATGTAAGACTTGTAATCTTAAACAATCTGACTGTGACAAATTTGCCAAGTAAAAGAGAAGGAGGAATAAAGTTCTCTTTCAGATCCGAATAACTAAGGAAGTTCTTCAGAGGATGACACTGAATTTACTTCAGAAATATTCTTGGGGATATTCTTTCAAAACCGTGTGAGGTGCATCGTATGCCAATGGTGACCTTTTATAGACATCTTTGTATTAAATGCATCATGTACAACTTTTTTTTTGCATGTCTTCTTCTGGTTAGTTGATCTATGTAACATAGTACTCTTCATTTCAACCTTTGAGTTTGATGTAGTCATAATTTTAACTTACTAGCCTCCTTTAGTATATCGAGGGAATAGTAAAGTAAGCAAAGTACCAATCACATGTGTTTTTGGATTTTTTTTAGATTGACATG